ATAAAACTTTATTTAATTTTTCAATAAAACTTCATATAATTTGACCTTATTTTAAGTAACGATTTGACTTAATTTCAATATTGAATAATAAATAAATTACAAAGAAAAAATTAAATTACGGTAACAAATTCCTAAGTAATTGGAGGTATTTACACAAAATTTTATTTATTCATTCGTTTTGTATAATATTTGACTAAAATTATAACAATTACAAAGAACATTTTCCCTTTTTCTACCTTATTTGAAAACTAAATTGTATAACATTTAACCATCAAAGTTCACTTGCGAATAAAACGAAAGGAAGATTATAATTTAATAAATAATAATTTTACTACGACATGGAGAAAAAAAATTCTGGAACATTCAGAAATCTGACATTTAAGGTACATTTTGTCTGTTATGGCAAGATCTTAATAATCAATAACTTTTATTTTCATCTGTCTCATACAATTATTGAGTAATTATTCTCACTGCTAAGGGGATTAATGTAGGATGATATTAAAATTTCTATGACTATCATGTAGTTTAAACTACTAAATTCAGTCCTGAAAAAAAATGCGAGTTCGGAAGAAATGCGGAAGAGCTGATTTGGAGTACATAACACAGATAAACAAAACAAAAAAAGGTTGCAATATTGATTGAATTTTTGAGCTTTAAAAGAATACATAGCTTGACTGCAAACTGTATAACTGTATTTGGACAATTTTAAACTAATTTTCAATTTTTATTGAGAATCACACGTAGAAAAAATCTGGCAAAACTACCGCACTGTAAAGACATTTCTGAGTTTAAAAAAAAGCATTGTTCTGGTTCATCAAACCTAAATATACGGTATTTAAACCAATCATTTTGTAATTTTTCCGTTCATTAGGTAATGGTTTACCAGAAGTTCAAGTTTTCAAATTTATAGTTCTATTACCGAATCTTTAGAAAAAAATTTAAAACTAAAAAGTACATTTAATCGAATAAATATTTTATGCAATGCTCTAATGCAGTGATTATTCCAATCACACGTGGAAAAAATCTGACAAAACTACCGTACTGTAAAGACAATTCTGAGTTTTAAAAAAAGCATTGTTCTGCTTAATCAAACCAAAATATACGGTATTTGAACCAATAATCCATTGATTAGATAATGGTTTACCAGAAGTTCAAGTTTTCAAATTTATAGTTCTATTACCGAATCTTCAGTAAAAATGAAAAACTAAAAAGCACATTTAATCGAATAAATATTTTATGCCATGCTCTAATGCAGTGATTCCTAATTCCTTTCTACTACGGAACCCTAAATAATTGACCTTCTTTTAGCATATTCTCCTCTTGAGTTTGTAGAATATACTGGACAAAAAGTCAATTACGCAAGTCACCACCATGCAATATAGTTTAACATAAGTCTCTAATCCAGAAATTGGTTGTTTAACAATCTAGAAACATCTTCAGTATCTCTGAGTACCTATTATGCATGTCATACATAATTTAAGCCACTGGCGCTTTAGCACGCATTAAGTCGTATTTTAGCCTGCTATCTTCTCTTCGTAGCAAACCGGTTTTTAGGGGAGAAACATACTCAAAATTTTGCCCTTTTAAAGTTTTTTCGCAGCCGTGTATGATTTGCCAGCCAGTTGCTTTACTGGAATGATGCTCCTGTTGCATTTTCATTACTAATTTTTCGCAAATCTGTGTCTTGCATATTGCAAGCAAGTCCTGAGTCTTGGAGCCTCTGTTTCCTTTTCAAAAAATCCTAGGTTTCCGAGGAATATCAATAAGTATGCGATGCTCTCATATATCTCCATAAACTTACCGAATTTGACCACATTTATGAAATTTTATTATATAACGTAAAACAATATTTTACTGTTAGTTTTACCATTAAATCATTGCGTTTTAAATTATCACCAAAGCGATTCAGTAAAAATTCCATGCTTTTTGTGTTCCCATAGAGTCAGAAACACTGTAAATTATACCATTCTGGTAGTTTTGACCATGCTGTTTTTTCTCAGAGCACAGTCTGTCAAATTTATTATTAGAATGTTAAGATGAAAAATATACACTGAGCATTAAAAAAAAATTTAATTAAAATGATAATTATTTTTGTAAATATAGTTAACTTACCGGAGTAATTTTAATTCATAAATAGCACACCTGAGAAGCTAGCTTTTAATTACAGTTAAGTTTCAAATATCCTTCCTTGTAAAAATATGAAAAAATTAAACTTTTTTTTTTAAAATCACTTAAAAATATTCTTAGGAAAATAAGATTAAAAAATACGACAGTGAGTACATCTCCCCAGACACCCGCGATAATGAGAAAAATATAAAAGCCAGAAACTTGTGATTAATGCGGCATAGTTAAATATATATTTAGACCCTCGGGGACCAGTTCAAAGAGACAAAATTTCTTTTGATGTGTTAATTTTAAAGAATATTTATGGCATAGTTAAGAATACTAATGTGACAAATGCTAGCTACGATTTTACATTTTATTTACTCTTGAAAGGAAATGCAATTTATAAAAAGGTAGATTACACTTATTAATATTTACACTTCAAAGTAAAGTTACATATGAAGGTTAACTTTGTATTTCCAAAAATAGCAATATTATCTTTCCCAGATGGTGTCGCACTTAAAATTTCTATTGGAAAAATTAAAAATTTTAATTTTGTAAAATTAAATATTTCCCATTTAAAGAAAGGAAAAAAGAGAAACTCAAAAAACTAATAATCTAATAATTAAAATCAACGGGCATTTTAGATTAGTGGTAAAATATAATTTTTTGTCTATTAAGAGAACAAATAATATCATATAACGAATAATATAACTTAATAAAAAAGATCAAGTTCTTTAAATGTTTTAATGTGTCCAACTGTAATTTCAGAAAATGTAAAAGAAATTGTTGAACATATTGATGAGAAAAATATATTGTTTTTGTAGAGAAGTTTGGTAAAATATTGACAATTTTTGGTTAAATTATTGACAAATTTTGATAAAATTCAGAAATCAAAATGAATAAACCTTGAAACAGACAAATACTGACACAAAATTTTACTATTATATTATTTTTAAGTGTTATTTTTATACTCTTTACTTCCATTATATTTAAATATCAAAGGAAACATGGGATAAATAAGTTTCATTCACTGGGCCTGAGCTCCAAGTATATATAGAACTCATAAAATAAGTTAAACTGTTGATGTAAAGATTAATGAAAAAAGAGAAAAAAAAGAGAATGCAAAGATTAATGAAAAAAGAAGAAGTAAAAATATTAAAATTATTAAAATATAATTTCAAATAATGATTTTTATGATAGTTCTATGAAGCAAGGCACAGAGCAAAGCACTATTAAAACAAAGCCCTATCTAAGTAGATACATAGTTAACTTTCTATATTTAAATTAAATAACAAAGAAATTACGTTCAATTCAGTCATATTAACTTTAAAGTACTTCTTTAAAATTTATAGAAGCTATTTAATTTAAAATCAAATTCTCTTTATTTCAAATAGTTTTCTATTCCTTTGAAATACAATCGACTTTTCCCCTTTTTTGAAATTTACCAATTGTTGTTTTAAATACAGTTAGATAAACTAATAATTGCTAAATGATTTCGTTTGTCAAAAGTTCCTCTTAACTACTAATAAACTATAATTTATATTTCATCAGAACACCTATTTTTCACAGAAACATGCTTCATCGAAATACATATTTTATCAGAATAAATAGTAAAAAGATAAAGAAGAAGCAAAAAAAATGTAATTTAAAGTCAATGTAAATTTGAAACAATATCCGAAATGAAATTCAAAACTCATAATACATTTAAACAAGGCAATCTTATTATCTTTATAGAAAAACGATTTGATTGAGAGAGAAAAGTTTTATTAGTGTATTCAACATAAATTGGTAATTCATGTTTCCATATTTATGAAAAAGAAATCTTCATATTGAACTTAGGATAAGTCGAAACTAAATACAAAAAGAAATTTAAAGATAAAAATAAATAAATAAAATAAAGTAAAATCTTATTAAAAATTTTAAATTATTGCTAGTTTGAGTTCGAAACTGAAATTTCGTTTATAAATTTTTAACAAAATAAAAAGTTTAGAAATACGTAACTAACTTGAAAAAAAATTAAAAACTTCTTCGTTAAAGTATAAATTTTGCATGGGGAAAATAAACTATTTACTTCAATGACTTCTTATCATTAAATATTTATTTTCACAGATGCTAATTCAGTTAAATTATATTGGTCCTATTCTTTTAACATAATATTACACACTTCCGTCATCACTTCACGTATTTTATTGATTTCAAGCCCTATCCTATTCTTGCTTTTACTTTCGTCCTATTCTCTTAACATTTAATTGTCAATTCCGCCATTACTTTGCGTATTCTATTGATTTTAAGCCCTATCATGTTCCTGCTTTTACGTTAGTCCTATTGTTTTAGCATTAAATTACCAATTCCGTCATTACTTTGCTTATTCTATTGATTTTAAGCCCCATCCTATTCTTGCTTTTATGTTCGTCCTATTCTTTTAACATTATATTGTCAATCGGTACAATTTCGATCAGCAACTACTATACTTTTTCATGTAAAGTTTGAGGATTTTCTCTGCATATGCATTCATATATATGATTCATATATATATTGTAATAAATCTTCTTTAGAATTATATATAAGTATTCAAACAAAAATCAAATATTTTCGGGCAACCAAAAGGTACATTTTTATAGCAATACAGATTTTATTATGACTTATTTATTATCCTCAAACTGACTTCTTATAATTAATGATCTTTTTGAAACGTCAACTAAAAATTACTCTCTGGAAATGAAATTATTAAAATTTCATGAAAATAGTAACTCTGGAGAAAAAAAATAGTAAAAATAGTTAACACTCATTTCAATAACTTTAAAATTTAGTAATGTTTAATATCCTGATATTTCTATCATTTTTTTATTATTTTATTATAATAAACATCATTGATATAAGTAATAAATACATACCCGGCATCCGTATGGCATGTCGATAATAGTCCTCTATTGTAGGTTTGTACGTAGTTGTGAAAAAGCCTTCAAGGTATTGGACAACTAACGAAGTTTTGCCAACACCCCCTGCGCCAAGAACTACCAGTCTATTTTCTTTCATACTTGTGGAAGAAGTCGCCGTCTTTGCTGAAGCAAATTTGTACTTTCAAATTAAAATATTAAACTGTGACAAAGGCACAGCAATAACTTTCATGACATCTTACATCCATTCAAATAGCGATGATAGTATAATATGAACCTGAAAATAAAAAGAATTGAATTTGAGCAAAAGAACCAACTTTTAAAATATTGTTTAAATATGTTTTGTTCTCTGAGAAAACAAAGTATGGCTACAGTTACCGAGCCATGGTAAAATTTACCGTATTTCTGGTTTTGGGCAGACCAAAAAAGTCAGTAAATGCCACCGAAGTTCTCTGGTAATAATTTTGATAAATTTAACGATAAAATATGGTTAAATTTGTTTATTTTATCATGATACCTTAGAGCCAGTTCATTTCCTAGCATATTAACGGGAAAATTACCAAATAAATGCTTAAGTTTTCGTTTTATTAATTAGAGTGATTGTTTTTTTTTAAAAATGTCTTTACCACTTAGTATGGTAATTTTACCCGAAATTTTTTTCTCTATGTTTAATACATAACTAGCATTAATAATACTTTAAATTTTCAATTTTCATACTACTAGAAAAAGCACGGTTATATTGAACCTTAACATGGTGCAAGTTTTCTTAAATCTAAATAAGGTATTAAAGAGAACCAATTTGCCGATATAAGAATTTTCATGGTTTAAAGGCCGATTGTTAAATTGATGATAACTGTAATATTACGCAGGAGTAGAAAAATCAAGCACTGAGTTGATTAATAAAGAAAAAAACAATTCATATGAAATATTAATTTAAAAAAGGAATCTTTTGAAAAAATTAATAAATAAAATGTTTCCTATACTATGAACAGTATCATTTAATGAAAACGATTATGTATAAAAAAGGTACGAAAACACAGTTAATAAAATCGAACTAGGCTATTTCTATTCTATTCTAAACTAATTCTATTCGAACTAGGCTATTAATTTGTAATTTAAATTTAATAAAAGTAAACTTATTAAATTAAATTACCCTTTTTTACATTTAATTATTTTATTTTAAAAATACAAAAAAACGCTTATTAATTTAGAAATGTAAATGTTTTAAGGCTTTAAATTTAAAATTAAAATAATTTTAATGAAAATAAAAATATTAAATTAAATGTTTTTTTATATTTTATTATTTTAATTTTAAAAATAAAATAGAAACGATTAATGTTAATTTAGAAAAAAGAAGGATTTAGAACTTTAAATTTATATTTAAATTCTAATAAAAGTATATATTTTATTTTAATTTCAAATAATAGAATAAAAAACGCCAACAACAAAGTATTGCTCATAATTTCGATCTGCAAAAATAGATTTGTGACAGCATGTTTGTTATTCATACTATTTTTCTAATAATGTAACGTAATATTTTGTTTGGTAATTAATTGCAGTAAAATAATGTATGTAATTGTAATATGACTAATTGTAGAAAATGTAATTAATTGTTGCAATGTTGTGAAAGTAATTGTAATACAATTAATTGTCGAAATGTAACGTAGTTAAGTGTAGAAATACAATGTAATTAATCGCCTTAATATAATCAAAGTGATTGTCATGTAATTAATTGTAGAAATGTAATGTAGTTAATTGCAGAAATGTTATACAATTAATTTTATAATGTTATTAATTTAAGTTGTATTTTGTAATGATTGACATTTACTTCTGTCCTTTAATAGAAGAGCAATGAAAAAGACACTAATCATGTCATGATCAGTCACAAGCCTGAAAAAGTGAGATTGGTGTTATTTAGAAAAATCTAAACTTAGATGAAGTTAAATGTTTAATTTAAGGAAAGGTAAATCACTTATTGAAAACCAATCAGTTCATTTTAGTGTTAAATTTGTTCAAGGAAATCGCGCAAAAGTCAGCCACTCACCAAAAAAGTATCTAGCTACAGCCTTGCCTGCTAAGATCGAAGTTGGTGAGGTTATAGGCCATCAACGTTTTGCACACTCGAAGTTATGGCCCTCCGATTATTACAGTTAGTGGAGGCTCATTTCTCACGCTAAGTATGGATCGGTAAAGTTTTGGCCGCAAAATTTTGTCCAGTAAAAATTTGGCCACAAAAGTTTCCTCCCAAAACGTTGAAACACAAAAAAAATTAAAAAATCTAGTTTGTGTTAGTTCACTAATAATAAAATGACTGACTCATTCATTAAAAGAAAAGTTATTGAGGAAAGGTAATCACTTAAGCTCAATCTCTGGAAAGCTTTTATAATTTATTCAGGTAACTAAAAATAAACATTTAACTTATTCAGTAGTCTGTGGTTAAAGTTAAATTATGAAAGAAAGGGGAATTTAACAATGGTATTTTTGAAGAAAAGCATCTCGCTTTTAATGATATATTTATAAGTAACGCTCATAGCACCTTTAAATAACAACTAAAATATTTATATTCCTTAATAGTTTGGTTGAATATAAGTAAACTATTTGAAATATCCGACCAGTACATTAGTGATATAGTATGTTTGATCTGAAAAGGTTTAGGAAAAATACTTCCGTGATCAATAAAAAATTATAATTGTCGTTTAAAAATTATTTCAATTGAAAACTATTTAAAACAACAGATATTTTCAAACAAATCGTAGAAAGCATCACTAATTTACTTCCTAAACTCTCAAAAGAATTAGTACAGCATGAAACCGTGATTTTTGAACAGTAATATCCTGCAAGCATCCTGCATATCCTGCATCGTTAAAAAATTGCTAAATAGAACCATATAACCATTTGAGTTAAACAATAGTTTCTTGTTATATAGAATAAGAAGGATTCGTTTATACGATAATATAGTTTAACAGGGCACAGCATTTAGCTCAGCATATTTACATATATATACTGTGGTTCAGTGCTCTCTAAAATATTTAAAATTAAACACTATTAAATATTTAATTCTCATCATAGTTAGGACGCTCTGCTTTTGATTAGATTAACTGTTGCTTTAATAAGTATAATTCAAATGCATGTTTTCATTCAAGTGTAATATTCTTTTCACATAATCTAATATAAAACAGTGGAGCAGCCATTTTGACTTGTTTTAACTTAACAGTTTATTAATGTTGAATTTGTTGGATTCTGCCATGATAAAATTAGTATCAGGTTAAATTTCAATAAAGTAATATTTCTGTTTATTACAACTGCCTATGACGAGTATTTTTATTTACTATTTCAATTTAAAATTAATAGTTTGTTATTGTAAACATTAATGAGGGCTAAGATCAATAAAAGTTATGTTAACTTTGTAATAAAATTTTTGTTGCTATTTAAATTTAAGTTAACTACTAAACACATACTGTTAAAACTATTATTGCAGGATGAACTGTAACATCGTGATTATTTGCTACGATTTAGGTGTTTGGTAACCACAAATGGCAAGCCGACCCGTGAAACGGGTTTATGGCTTTTCGTGGCCCCTTCTTAGAATGATTTAGGTGTTTAGATTTAGTTTGCATTTAAATCGAAATAACAAAGCTTCTCCTGCCTTCTTAAACTCAAAGCAAAGCATTCCCAAAACAGCACGTTTTGAGTCATAAAGCTTAAAGGATCCGCAATTTCATCCCGAATGGCATGAATTTGACAATGTGCGATGAGCATCGGCTACCTTTATTTTCCAGACACGTCGATACCTATAAGGCGAGTGAACTTCAAGTCACTACTGAGGATTGAATCCCAGTTCTTCACGCTAACAATTCATTGTCTTAACCATCGATTAAACAAAAAAAACGGTATTACATTTATAATTTTATGGAACAAAAAAATCCGATATACCATAGTTTTTACAGTATATATATATATATATATGCGCAATGAGTTGTAAAGGTGCTTTGTTTGAAAACATTTTTTCAAACAATTGAATTCAGATTTGAAACAGATGAAATTCAGAAAATTCATCGTAGGCTTAGCTAACTGATACTAACTTGAAATATAGAATTAAAAAATTAAGTTTTAAAAAAAGAATAAATATCTCATTGATTAAGACTTAAAAGTTCATGACATTTAAATCCTAGCATAACAGTAAAGCACATATATTCATTTTTTATTTGCATAATATTTTTAAAATGTATCTTAATCTAGAGTGCAACACTCTGCAACGTTTTACGTCATAGAAACGGCCCGTGAAACAATTAGGGATGGCTGGTCCTAATCTCGACTAAACTGCTACAAATTTTGCAATATTTTAAATCTTAAAAAGTTGCCCAAATTCGCTGCCCCCATAACAAAATACCAACAAGGTGTACTATATTACTCTACAATCAAATAGTTACGTGTGATTACTTTGTATCAACTCGTACAATATTTACATATTTTCTCACTGTTGTGATTGAATCTTTTATAGTACAATTTTCCCAAATTGCATTAATAGACTTATAAATCCAGAGGCTCAGTTGAAAATATTTCATTGTTAAAACTGTCTTAAAACAAATGTTTTTCCTGAGTGTTTAATTTAAAGTATTAAAATAAGATTAAAAACTAAATTAATAGCTTATCAAGCGTTTTGTCACAGTTTTGCTGCAAATGATATCCCTTTTAATATCATTATCGATGGCTAATTTATGTATTATTCCTAATAAATTGTTTTATTTTTGCAATTTTTAATTTTATTTCTTTTTTTTCTTAAACTATGCCCAATTTCTTAAATATTTTAGACTAATCTTACGTCATTAAATATACACAAATTTGAAAGCTTAAACTTCGATATATTTTTCAATATATCAAATATATATAAGTTTTGCAAATAATCTTTAGATACTTCCGCTAAAAAGCATGATTTCCGCTAAAAAATAGATACCACAAAAAGCTCCACTTTCCCTGTGTATCGATATCAAAGGATACGTTAATAATTTAAAGTTATAACTAAATATGTAGAAAGAATCTTAAAAGTAAATTGTATTTATCTGAATAAATATTTAATGTTTTACTTTTACGATAACAAATACTAAATATTTAGTAAAAAGTAAGTGCTAAATATTTTGTTTGTAATATAAATCGTAGTATTTCAGTATATCTCAGAATTTAACTTGATCATGTGGGCTTCGCTTATGTCCATATTATAAAAGAAAATGTATAATTTATTTTATTTCAATAGATATCCCCTATATCTCTCCTCCTTAT